CTGCTCCGCAAAAACCTTGCTCGGTATTTGGTGCCAATTTGCCAACAATCTTTGATTTAGCGGATATTGTGTCCAATTTAATGATATTTTGGCAGCAAAATTTGTAGTCAAGTGTTGGGCAAAATTTGCTCGAGCAGATTTGGTTATCTGGGTATCTTAAATTCATCTTCAGATATTCCGTAGCCGATGAAATGATTCGTACATCATCTACAGATAAACTTAAGACGGTCTTCAATATAAGATCTGACTATGAATACCGGCATTGAAATACATAAATCTCACAGCAATATCCTGATTGGTTCTTTAATTTACGTTTACATATTATGGCTATAGTTGCGGCAATTTGTGTCAAAGGCCCTTATAGAACGCGCTTTCTAACATACTACGTATTATAGAACAGACCTAACGGACATTTTGTAAACGAGCCTTTACTGCAAGATTACGCTCTATGCACAATTCCACGCAACAGGCAATAAGAACAGGGAATAGAAATTCTGATTGGTCAATTATTTCTATTCCCTATTCCTATTGGCTAATGACTATTTCTATTGCTTGTTGCCTGGCATTGTGCATACAGCGTAATCTTGGAGTAAAGGCTCGTCTAAAAAATATCCGTTAGGTCTGTTCTATAATACGTAGTATGTTAGAAAGTGTGTTCTATAAGGGCCATCGCACACAAATTGCCGTAACCGTAACCGTAACCATAATATGTAAACATAAACTAAAGAACCAATCAGGATATTGCTATAGATTTATGTATTTCAATGCCGGTATTCATAGTCAGATCTGAATATTGAAGACCGTCTTAAGTTTATCTGTAGATAATGTACGGATCATTTCTGTAGATAATGTACGGATCATTTCTGTAGATAATGTACGGATCACTGGGCGCGTTCAGCAGAAAAGCGCTCAGTGAGCAATCAGCGATTATACGTACGATATTTAATAAAAGAATAACTTTCCAACAGAAAATTGAATTCTTTATTAAAAAGCTGTTCTCCTATTGGATATCGAATGTCGTACGTCGGACATCGGACGCAGTGTGAATCCTGCATTACTATTAGATCCCTATATCTAGACCAATTATATTGACGAATTGCTCAACTGTTGTGCAACTGTTGAGTTCGTTGAACGCACCCAAACCAGTATTGCGAGTTCGCGAGATTCTCTGAATGAGTCCTAGATGCGCACATTAACAAACGGACGCATCCAATCACATATTGTTGTTTATAGAGTCTCAAGAATATCTCTAGGCATATGGCGTTGTGGTTGGCTGTGTCCGTTTGTCAATATGCGCATCTGGGACGCTCCCGATTCATTCTCTCTGCGACAGGAGGCTTTAGATTTGTTCGAGTTGCTTGTACATTCACACTTTTACACCTAATGCCCGTTGCACACTAGTGCACCTCATACAATACAAATTTTCCAAAATACGTTCTGACGACGCTTTTAGAACGGAGAAATGTCATCAGAATATTTTTAGGACGTCCTTTGAAGATGTGAGCTGTCTGAACATAGCTAATATCCAGTAAGTTATTTGCATTAATTGAATTTTTTACACTTACACACTTAGTGCACATTAATTCTTTAAAGGTTCTATAAATGACGTCATGATTTCCGTTCGTGTTACGAGTGTAAATGCAATTTCGATACACATTTTACACTTGATCCCAAGCAAGAGTAAAAAGTGTATCAGAATTGCATTTACACTCGTAAAGCCCATTCTACAATTGCGTGAACGTGGTTGTAAGTGGTTGTATGTGATTACGACAACCAATCAGAATAAAGCAATCAGTAAATAAAACATTCGGATTGGTTGACTCTTACGATCACGACTACGCTTACGCAATTGTAGAATGGGCTTAACACAAACGGAAAACATGACGCCATTTTTAAGGTGCGTTCAGATAGAGAAAGAAATAGCGTAACGGAACAGTTACGGAAAAGAGATATGGTGATGGTCAGTCAATCAGAGTAATTCCGTTTTTATTCCGTTCTGTTGTTTGATAGGTAGGTTTCACATGGCACAGAACTGTTACGGAACGAAACAAAAACGGAAAACATTCTAACCTATCAACATCGAAAATTGTAAAATTTTACAATTTTCGATGTTGATAGGTTAAAATGTTTGCCGTTTTTGTTCCGTTCTGTAATGGCTCCTGCACACAGGACGCGATAATGCTGGTCGCGCGGTGGAAGTTCGCGCGACAGCCAATCAATATGCTGCTTTCCGTAATAACCTTCTAGCTTTTACGGAAAAACAACATATTGATTGGCTGTCGCGCGGACTTCCGCCGCGCGGCAAGCATTACCGCGTCCTGTGTGCAGGAGCCATAACAGTTCTGTGCCATGTGAAACCTACCTATCAAACAACAGAACGAAATAAAAACGGAATTACTCTGATTGGCTGACCCCCACCATATCTCTTTTCTATAACTGTTTCGTTACGCTATTTCTTTCTCCATCTGAACGCACCCTTAGAACTTCTAAATAATTAAGCCAGCAACACACGGTGCTTGTTTTCGTGCTGGATTGTTTGCTGGAAATACTCTGTTTTAATTGGTGTATTTCCATCCATCTTCAGAAATGCACCAATCAGCAAGCAATCCAGCATGAAAACAAGCACCGTGTGCCGCTGGCTTTAATGTGCACTAGGTGTGAAAGTGTGAAAAGTTCAATTAATGTAAATAAATTAATTGGATATTAGCTATTTTCAGACAATTCACACCTTCAAAGAACGTCCTAAAAATATTCTGATGACGTCCCTCCGTCCTGAAAACGTCTTCAGAATGTATTTTGGAAAATTTGTGTTGTTTGAGGTACACTAGTGTGCAACGGGCATTAGGTGTAAAAGTGTGAAAAGTACAAGAAACTTGAATGAACCTCTTCTGCGCATGCGTACAGGATATGTCAGTCTACTATTGGATATCGTATCATTCGCGCATGCACAGCAGGCTTCTTGCCGCGGATAAAACTCGCAGCACTGATTCAACGTTCTCATTGTGTATAGAACTTTACATCGCGTGTTGCAGACGAAGTTGTGAATACTCTTCTTTTTTTCGACAAACGACAGTTATAACAAGATGGTAAGTTTCATGTGCAATCTACCGAAATCCGTGTTTTTTTTAGCGGAATGCTACACAATAATCATCGAATATTTTATTAAAATAATAATATTATTAGTAAAAAGTTTGCTATAAAGAGTATTTTAACGTTTCGGTTTGAAGAAACTACGAAACAAATTTATAGTTAAATGTATCTAGTTACATCTTTCAATATCTTCGATCATTGAATATTAACAGTTAATTTCATTCACCCGATATATTTTTTTATTTGTTGTAATTCATGCTACATACCTTATGTGTTTGGTTTAGCATATTCATGATTAATTCAAGTTCGAATGATTCACGAAATGTTTTGAATTACGTAGAGGTTATGTTTGTTTAAAGTTTACATCGCATGATAGATTAATGATACATTTGTATTTTTTAGTCTCTCGTTATTCCTGAGAAGTTTCAGCACATTCTTCGTGTCATGGGCACGAACATCGACGGTAAAAGAAAAGTCATGTTTGCCATGACTGCAATTAAGGGTGTTGGTCGGCGTTACGCCAACATAGTCTTGAAGAAGGCTGATATCGACTTGAATAAGCGAGCTGGAGAATGCTCAGAGGAAGAGGTAGTTTCAATGATTTGTATACAGAGTGTTTCACTTTTAGTGATATGGTCGATTATTTCGCGAATCGATGATTTTATTGAAACATTTTTCCGATAAAAGATGCATGGCTTGAAGGGGGACACATGAAAATGTGGACTTGACCTTGAATGATCTTGTCGAAATCAGGTCAAGGTCATTAATGTTTTTTTAAACAAAAATCCCCACTTTTTCTTACATATTCTTATAGATTATCGCAAGAGCTTTCCAAAACACTATAATAAAGTTATGTTTCATTGAGTACTTTCCGAGTTATGAAGTTTAAAAGTTACACTACCGCCGGCGTTATCCATGTACGCATACACATGTGAGTGGGATTCTTACGCGCGCGCGTCTCCGCGCGATTTATCCGCAGTGCTTGACATACGCTCACTGCACGAAATTGAGTCCAATCTTTCTCAATTGAACGATTCAACTTTCCTCTTTTTTTCATATAGCTTTTTCTTTTTATTTTGTTACCTAACAAGGAAGGTTAGGCAACCCGAAAATTCTGAAAATTCTGAAAAAAATTTGTGCAAGTAGAGCAGTTCATCCGTAACACAAAACTATTTTTTTTTCGTGCCATATTTTGGTTTGAAAGGGTGATATCACCCCTTGAAAAAAATGCAGATTTGTTTTTTTCGCGTAATAAGTCCAGAACGGTGAGAGATATAAAAAAAAGTTTAAACAAAAGTTGCATCTCATTTTTATGTCTACAAAACTACGTACAGACAATTATCGAAAAATCCATTTTTTTCGAGTTACCCCTACTACCAACCCTTAAAATTAAGTTTTTGTACTGTGTAATTTTATGCAAAAATACTTCTCCACAACCTCTTTTCATACATCATAATCAATATATATGTGTTCTATGTTTTTTTAATAAAAAAAAATAAATGAAAAATCTCTATTATCGAATTTGAAATCCGTTTTAACAGTTTGAATTATTAAAATAGTTTCATAAAGCGATATTTAAATTATTATTTATATCAATTTCAGACAGCTTTCAATTATTTAAGCAAGACAGTATGTACTTACAACTACTTGAAAGATAAAACTAATTAAAACTAATCAATGACGTATATGAATCATAACAACAGCAACATACATACATTACTTGAAGTGTTATTTTATTACAATATTTTGTAAACCACACGATAAATAAGATATTGCATGAAGCTCTATCTTAACATTAAAGGACGCAGAGTCACGTATTGACGATAACCTTATCGAATGTTCCGATAATGCGAACGTATTTTATTCCTGATCATTAGTACATATTGGTAAGATAAGCGTCATCGAGCAGATGTCGGCTTAATTTTTTAATTGATAATTGCGTCTTTTGATTGATATAAATATGCTCGAGGAAGTAGCTTATTCCCAGTGTCATTTACGACTGCAAGCAATCACCATTCTATTGAAAAAAGTTAGTGATCATTGCTTGATACACTTCTCTTTAAAATGACGTTGATTAATGTTGCAAACGTAATAAACATGTTAGTGACTACGTTTCAAATTGCGAGTATAGCACACACACCTGTAACGCCGTCTGAAATTGAAGTGCATAATGAAATTCATGACATTATACAAAATTTTCTAAACGTACATTCCGTATCATTAATTGAACATGATTACGTGCTTGATTTTGCCGATCCATCAGAACCACATGGAGCACAAGTTGTAGAGTACATTACAGCTGCAGAAGAAGAAGAAGACAATTTTGAACCTGAAGAATGCATTGTTGACAATGAAGGTGGAAAAGTCGACTTCAGTTATAAGAGAAAAGCTGTGGAGTTTTGGAAAAGCGGAAAAAAGGCACGTCGATCTTTTACTACTGTACAGAGAAATTGTCGCAAGGTTAAATCCTTGAGCCAGTTTTACAGATGGGAAGCGAGTGTAGAGAAAGGTGGAACAAATGCAGATAAATTTCAATTTATTGCGGAATATGTACTGCAAAAGTTTGAAGAAGCTTCTGACAGAAGATCTATTGTTCACGATATGAATTTAAGATTCTGGGCCTTGGAGGCAAAGGACCAAATGGACTTACCCGAATTCAAGGCAAGTAAATGGTGGATTTGGAAATTCAAGAATGTGCATAGAATTGTTTCTCGCAAGATAACAACATTCAGGACGCGATCTACGCTTCA